CTTTACATAGGAAGACAAAGAAACTATATAGCAAAAATGCAAGGTACGAAAAATTTGACAAAATTTTTCGTAACACCGCCGCATAACAAATCATATAATCCACCCCAAGGGCGAGTGGATCAATCCTGTTGAACTTTTCCTCAAGATCTCTCAAAGCCATTCCAAAATTCGTTTCATCCGCTTTTTCTTCGCCCTTAAAGAACAGGGCGTTCTTTATTCGGCACACGAAGTCCGGGCGAGAGTAACCTTTCGTGGTTGACTCCGAATCCGATCTGTTCCGATCAAGGTCAATCGGAAGAGTTACGCCTAGGCATTTCTTGAACAATTCGAGCGTGTTTGCAATAAGCAAATCGATTGGCATGTGCATCATGTCCTCTGATTTGCTGATCGCATTACAACGCCACAGAATAGCATCGCCTAAGACGTAACTTATGTGCAAGGCCAATTCGGATTCGCGGTCTTCTTCGTTTAAGTATACGTATTGTTTCAGGGACTTATTTATATTGACGGCCACAGGCAACTTACAGGCAAGTGGTTTTTTAAGAAGTGTTGGCACACTACTAACCTTCTTCGGTAAAGTATTAAATGGTCTTAAAAGATCATTGCAGATCTTTGCACTTCTGGAAACCTTTTGGACCAAAATGCCTGTAGTGTCTGCGTCCTCATCCCTTCGTTTCCTTTTCCCTAAGTTGTTGGTTACCTCACCTAAGACTTCGGTGCCGTCCCACAACTGATTGGCTTCTCTTAGATCGGCCTTCATAAAAGAAAAATTATATGAGTGAGAATTTACAGAAAGGACAATAAGACAAATAATTGAGGTGACAAGATTCGAGAAATCTAAATTTCTTTATTAACCAAAAACCAATACAGAGAAATCTCTTTAACTGTACCCTCTCTAAATGCTAAAGTACCGGACAGAAAAAAACATCCAATATGTTTTAAAAGTGTCAAATTTGAAGATTATATAATCATTATGATCGGTCAATTATTATATAATTAATTTTGATTTGATAAAACATATAAATAATTTTTTTGTATACTAAACGCCAAATTTCAAACGTATAGAAACTTTAAAATATTATAAGTAAACTTATTGTTCCTAAATGTATGTTGTTAGAAGCTTTGTCCTATGGAGTGCATTTAACGAAATTTTTCTGTATTACTAAATCTCATGAGCAGTTGTGGAGTATAAATTTTCATCCCTACACAAGTACCTAGGTGTTGCTACCATCTCAGCACATAGACATATCATTTGTATACTTACAGCTCGGGACTTTATCAGAGACTCGACAACGTTGCGGACGTCTTGTGGTGTGTCTGGATTGCTTGCGAGTTTATGTAACATACTATAGAAGGCCTGATGCGCCTTGTCTTTTTTTGCGTGGACGTAGTTTTCCCTGGTTGTATTGTCGTAATGTTTAATATTCCATTTCTGGAATGGGATGTAGCCAAAATATTTGGCGTATGGAACCTCTTTTGTTAAGTGGCTTTGTGCGAGAAAAGACATAGGTTTGCAACGAAATTTTATGTGAGAAATTTAGTGCGAGAAAGTTAATTATACTTGGATTCAATCAAGGAAGAACTCAACGTAAAAGAAAAATACATATCTTAGACATATATTTTTATTTTCGATTGGCCAATGAAAATCATGGTCAAATGTAACATCTAAGTATTCGTTTTGAAAAATCGCGTATGCCGCGTACATTAATTTCACGCGTACAGCAAGTGAAATAAGCAAAGTATGTAAACGTGTGTACATCACAAAAAAAACCCCAGCCAATCAAATCTCCAACACAAATTAAATACGTATCAATGATGTAAATGTCCCGAAATGGAAGTTTGTGTATCCTGAAGGAACCCCTAATTTCTGATTCGTGTGTAAATGATATCTCTGATTGGACAAAGCAGACTACGCCACTCTTCGGTTGCATATCAAATTACAAGATCTGGTGTAACATAAATTTGCAAGAAAAGATTCTAAGTTTTGTAAAATTCTCAATATATCAAAAATTATTTATGAAACCGCCTTTCGTGTCCTAACAAAAAAAATTCCTTGCAAAATTTTAGTATAACATATGTTTTGTTAAACTTTATACTGCTCTAACGAATAACGATTTTTAAAAAATAGAGTTAGGTTAGTATCATGCTAACTTTTTAAATAAAAGGGCTTTTGATTATTTTCAATTGCAGCTCTAATAAACCTTTCTATATGTCGTTTTTTAATCACTCTTTGTACTTTAATTTTTTTAAAAAGTACTTTAAACTAGGGATGTTAAATGACCTGGTCATTTGATCAAAATTTAAATGACCCTAAGTCATTTGGGTTATTAAGTCATTTAGGTCATTCGCATATAAAGTTATTTTCTGGTTGAATTGTCATAAAAATTTATCGAACTTTATTACTTTTATAATCGATAACGTAGCAATATATTAATACAGTTGAACCTCCCAAAACTGATCCTGTCAAAACTGATAACCTGTAATAGCTGATACAAAATTGAGCCACCATG